CCCCCCCCCCCTCCCCTCTCTCTCTCGAAACAGCCGGCAACCTTATGCTCTAGGGTTACGTATTCGCTGCAAGGGTCAACGCTACCGCCGTCCGTCGATACAAGCATCGACAGTTTGTCGTCCAAACGTGAATGCATGATAACATTTCGATCCAGCATCGGTCCCTCAGCCTGTTGTGTGACGTGAAAATAAGCACGGTCCCTCAGCCTGCTGTGTGACGTGAAAATAAGCACGGACGGTGTGTGTCCTCACACGGGAATAACAGTTAGAAGCACTTTTCGAGGCACACACCGCCAGCAACAGTGGCGGCACACTATCATCCCAAATCGCTGGCTGGATAGTCCAAGTCTACCCTGTACACCCGACATCTTCTCCGTGCACGCATAGCATCTGGAACCAAACACAACATTGCAAGGTGAGTGGCAGCAAGCAGACGCTTCTACGTCAGGCGGATTTCGAAGAGCAGGCTTATCCTGATCCCATTCCTCCCCCACGCTACCACAGGCGGCGGTGGTGTGTCGCAGCCCGCAGCTCCATCGTCCCCACGCGAAAACCTGTGCGGCAAACATGATAGCGGAATGCCACGGGAGGTGGCGTCAGGCATTGGCAAATGAGAGGCACTGTATCAAGCTACATACATCAATACAACACGAACGACACTTGCTGTTCATACAAGGGCAGAAACGATCCAATAGCAGCAGCAGCAGCGGTGTTGCACTCCTCAGACCGTTCGTAGCACCCAGGTGTTCCTCGTTTCGGATCGCACCGCTGAATTCTTGGCGAAGTCGTTAGCGATCGGTACAACCCCTCACGTACCCCCGCCGACACGATTTTGTCAAAACTTCCCAAACATCGTTCGTGATCGTCAGTCCAACGCAGATCGAATGAGGACCTAAACCGCGCCAATCCCCCCATCAGTTCACCAAAAGGCTGACGTGTTCCGCGCGTACGCAACCTCTTCAGGGCGCCAACAAACACAACCTCCTCGTCTGTGGCGGGGACGGCAAACACAACCACAAATAATCCGCATCAAGCTAGAAGGACACAATAACCCTCGTGTTCCTGCTGAGATTGATCTCACCTCGCGTTGCAACCGGTGAACGTCGTCGCTCGTGAAGGATCGCACACACTCGCGGCACGCCCTCCTGCAGAGCTGGCTCCATCCGGCGTGCTTCCTCACCCGCACCAAATTCCCCGTCCTTCGACGCCCCAACCTCCGCAACCAGCCAGTACCCCCCCGCCCACGCTGTCCACGCTAACCTACCTTGCGCCTGATGGAGAGCGCGTCTACCATCGGCACCGCCAGCGGGATGTTGTGGGCTGACGCGGCCGGAGGCACGGGGGGCGGGGGCTACCGCGTGTCATCGGCGCACCACGGTGATGCCCGCCGCTGCCTTGACGCCGGGCATTTTCAAGAGCTTGAGTTTCTTGTTTCCGGCGCGCAGGAGGTGCTCGATGGTGCGGAAGTCAGTTCGCGCGACGGACTCCGCCTTCAAAAGCGACCCGGTAAACGAGCGCATGGTTTCCAGTTATTATGCGTGTTTCAAAGTCAGCGGTACTCGTACTGTAGCACACAAGGGGTCCAAGTATAAAGCAAGTAAGGGGTCCAGGTAGATCGTGTGCCTTGAGGAGCCTGCCTGCCTGCAGCAGCAGCACAGTAGTCGTCTTTTAATAACGTCGCGGTCAAAAACGCGCGAGTGGGAAACACCGCGTCGTCAACACGGGGCAGCAAGGTCGCCGGGGGGGCACGCACTAGTAGAGAACCCCGACGAGCGGCTGGACGGCTGACAGAGTTGAAAACCCACAAATCGGCAGATACCGGAACAATGATAGCAAGGCCTCAACAGAGCGCCAGCAGTGGATGCCACTGCTGGTGGTTGTACAACATGTGTGTCCCAGCACTACCGGGGAGGCGGTGTATCGTTATTTACTGAAGAATACATACATTCAACAGACTCAGTTTCCACCAACGTGTGCAGCATCTGCGGAACGATCAAGGCGCCATCCACGGCGGGGGCGGTTGCAATACCACAGCGGTACTTTGCCTTGTCGCCTACAGCGACTGACTGCTGTCATCATACCACAAGAAGCGATGGTTCGTGCTTGGTGCCGGATTGACCGGACTGTCGTGGCGAGGCACCCACCCGTTGAGGTATCAACGATACATATCTGCTTGTACATCTCTACTTCCTGCTGTAGAGTTGCCGAGTGGTGCACGCGTAATGGGCTTTTCGCCACGCATTTTTGATCCTCGACATGTACCTCCTCTCTGGCAAGGACAGCAGCAAGCGAGTTGTGCACGCAGGTGGAGACTTCGCGTACTTGTACATACATGCACAAGTCTAGACTAGATGGCGGGGCACATGTTCTTCGCGGCCAGCTCGTTGGAACGCGCATCTCATGCGCAACAAAGCAACAAACGCAGAAAGGAGTGGCATGCGTGTCGAAAAATGAATCTGCCAAGGGATGGATGGGACTGCATTTCCACTTCTGACTCCCTCTTCTAGAGACGTCTTGGAAACCATCGTCACACCAACCGTATATGTGGGTTACACAGGATATGACACCCCGTGGGCCGATTTTCAAAGCTCGATTACCCCCACGGTGAAGAAGATGCACAAATGAAATGATGCGACATCCGGAAGCTCTCGACGAGACGGCCTCGACGCCGCCGTTTTCGGCGCGGCGAGTCATTCTGCTATGGATAAATCGAGATTTGAAAACAGCTGCAGAGGGTGCGGTATCTTCTGTCACCTCGCACACCTGTGCACGGAACTCTGCCCTGACGAGCTCGGTCGTGCTGCCCGCCCATTCTCCGCCATCTTTCACCCGTGCCGCCCGAAGCAGAAGGCGGTAGAGCTTATTGACTTCCCGCTGAACCCCAGAAAGCCTCGCAGACATACTGGGTCACACCCCGAACGCCGTGCGTGTAAGTGCGTGTGCTTTTAACGTGTGAGGTGAGGTGTAGTGTGACGCAGACGGGAGCACAGAGGGGTGGTCGAGGCTATTCGTTGGGCCTCTTTCACCTCACAAGCCGCACAAGCTGAAGTGTTCGCTGTTCGCCCTGTTCGGCACTTCTGCACCTGCTGGGTGGGTCTCTTTGGGTGTGCTGGCCACCACCCCGCGGGATCCAACAACAATAAAACTCGTTATGCTTAGGTGTCTCTGGACCATATGAAGCATTCCTTTTGCAATAGGTGCATATGTAAGCTGAGCACCGTGTGGCACATCCCAAACGTGTCTACTGGGTGCACATGATAATGTCGGTGGCTATCTTCGTGGTACGCTCGTAACCTATTCCGAATACAAACTGCTACGCTGCATATCGGTCCAAAAAGACGTGCCGACTCCTAGTGTATGAGTAACCCAACGCATCTTTGTCGGAGATTGGACGCCGACGCTCCTGCTTAGTTCCCTTTCGACGTTGATGTACGGTGAGAGCACTGCGCGGATCTCTCCGCCGTTCGCCGCTTGCTTGTCAGGGTTTCCAGGGGGGGACAAGTTCCCGTCGGAGGCTTCGTTATCGCCTGTTTATACTGCTGTACTTTTTGTTGGGACGAGCAGCTCCTGCTACGCAGAAAACTCTCACACACACCCGGCCGGTGTCCTGGTGAAAAAAATTGCTATGAGCGGCCAGGCGGATGAGTTCTGCCTTGTGGAGCCGCTGGCTGCCGTGGGGATCAACCCGGGCCAGAGCCCTGGGCAACCTCGAGGCGCAGAGTGCGTCGTGTTCGGTGAGAAGCGGAGGAGCAACACCCGATTGTTCCTCTCCCGGAGGCAACAACTTCAAATTCTTCCCTCCGGTGTTGTGGTGATAACTTTATCTGTCTATGCAAGACTACTACTCCAGTCTAGTGGTATGTAGGGCACGGTTTGCGTACCGCGGCTAGCTGCGACAAGCTGTGTTTTTCGGCCGGCTCGGTCTGGTGAGGAAGTGCATAATATGTACAGCAGTAGTAGCAAACGCATCTTCTGTTTTTGTAAACAGCGAAATACAGCAGTTCTGTAGGGTCTTTCGCTCTCTCAGCCGCGCGCCTTCATCAGGTGTTTGTTAGCGCGCGTGTCGGGAGACAGGCGGTCCTTTTGCGTTCCTCCTGATACACGTCATGGTGCTACTTATCACTGCTGCTGTGCCTTGGTGAACACAATGATGAAGCCGCGTTTATTGCAACACCCAGGTTGCGGTCGCCTTTGTTTGCAACACCGACAGCGGATGTTTCTTCGACGCCTATACAGTATAGTCTACTTTCTCTCTATTAGTCTACTTTCTCTCGATCTTTCTCCGTCTCTCTCTCTCCCTCGCTCCCTTTCTCTCTCTCTCGCTGACTCCCTCCCCGCCCCTCTCTCTTTACGTATCATGTGGGTGTCGCCATCTCTCTCTCTACAGCAGCAATGCCATCTCACAGGTTGAATTTTCTCTGGGGTGCGTCTTTCATTGATGGAGTGTTTGCATCATATCATATCTCATGTGTAGACTTACCTCTGGACCTAAAGAGTCCACCGCTGGGTTTCCAAAATGAGTAGGTAACATAATTGCTGTGCTTCCCACCCCTTTCACTCTTCGCATGAAAAAAACGCTTAGCAGCACCGGCACCGACCGCAGCCCCGAACACACCAGCCCCGCTACTGGCGGGTACCTCCACCAACGCCAACTCCTGCTTGAACGGAAACGGAGGCAGCAGTAATAGCAGCAACAGCAGCGGTGTTGTCCACTCGGTGCTCGCGGACGACGAGCTTTGGGGACCTCCGGCGGGGGCAAGGAGGCCCTTTCAGGCCAGGGGAAGAGGCGTAGGGGCGGGGGCGGGGGCGGGGGCGGGGGCCGCTGGCGCTGTTGCGTCACGCAGAGCGATTTCGCCACCCTGGACAGGGAACATCGACTACGGAGGTGGCTGTAGCGGGGGTGCGGGGCGGGTAGACGGTGGTGCTTCAGCTGCGGAGGGCGATGGATTTAGAGAAGCGGCCAGGGTAGGAGGGGGGCTTGGGCTGGGGCCGGCGGCGGTGGCGGCGGTGACAGCGAACGGTGTGCGGGTAAGCTCCGGAGCGGCCCTCTCTCTCTCTCGTGTACCATCAAGTAGACAAGTCTTTGAGCGAGGTCTGGAGCAAGCAGAGGCAGGCCTGAAATACTGCTGTACCGGGTGTGGTGGGCACCACGATCAAGTTGCCTGGACCATGATTGATCATCACGGGCTTCCGCTGACACGAAGAGCATTCGTCCAACTGGAAGTACCACTTTTCGAACCCGATGTCCCCCTTCCCTTCTTCACACCGCCAGATCATCACGGGCTTTTTTGCCGACACGAGATTTTTTTATCCATCAACTTTGGATTCCACGTTCCTTCTTCCCTCCCACTACCCCCACCTCTATTTGATGCATCATCGAACGGTTTATCTCTTGCTTGCTTTTGTGGCTCGCGAACGGAAGAATACGGCGACGCCGAGGCGAAAGCGCACGAGCACGAGCGGGATCAACCGAGAGAGGCAGTTCGACGGGACTGTCACCGGTGGTACCGGCGGTACCGGCGGTAGCGGCAGCAGGTTCGGGAGGGGGCGAAGACGATCGGGTCCCGGTAACGGCAGGGGCGGGCTCTCGAAGAAGACGCTCAACATTGTCACTAACCTCAAGGTGATGTGTGGGCCCTCGGGCTACACCGAGCCCTTTTTTTTCGAGGGCGATTAATTTTTTTGTAAGGATCGTTTGGTTTGAACGTGGTATAGGTCTTGAACCTGTTGTTTTACGATTTTTGTAAGGATCGTTTGGTTTGAACGTGGTTTGTACCTGGAGCCTGTTGGGTTTGAGTTGCGATGTGTGGCCATTCATGTCTAAGTGGCGCATTGTGCTGCTGCTGCTGCTGCTGCTGCTGCTGGTTCGCGTTTCTTCATCACTCTCTCCTCCTTTAGAGCCATACCACCGACGTCCGGTCCCGCGAGGAGATGGAAGACCTGGAGGAGGAGAAGAGGCTAGCCGAGGAGGAACGGCGTTTCAAGGAGAACCTACGGCAAAAGGTACATGAATTATCCAATCTATCCCTTGCGCTCGGATGAAGTTAGTGAAGGAAGTTGGCCGCTTACTTAGTCAACAATCCACCTGTTTTCAGTGCTCCTCGCTAGGATGCTGGGTTTTGATCGCTATCCCGCGTGTAGGTTTGTTGTTATGCCAGATATCGATCCCCTTTTTTCGCTGGAGTCTTGCGCGGGTAGTTTTTCCCCTGAGCGCTGAACTCTTGCAAGATATCGACTTATCGAGCACCTAGCCCTATTTGGGAGGGAGGTCAAGGACACGGAGGCGTTCCACTCGAAAGCCACACCACATCACACATACGCCGCGGCAGTCTGCGATGTCTGCGATGGCTAGTGTAATTATTGCTGTTGCCTCTGCTCTTAAGTCTGTCGCTACTGCTGCGTGTCAGCTTGTCTGGTGTTGCTCGTTTCACAACAGTGTCTGTCGTGCGTGTATCGCATCGTTGGCTGTTACATATCAGGGGGACGACTTCGACCGCACGATTCGCATCCTGCTCCTGGGAGACTCCGGCGTGGGGAAAACGAGCCTCATGACCCGCTTCTCAGAGGACAAGTTCGCGCCGACCTTGATCAGCACGGCTGGAGTAGACTACAAGGTGCGTTAGCGGTACGCCGTACACGTTGTAATATGGCGGCGATGGCGCGATTCAGACGCGGTTACAACCGTAGCTTCTGTACCGTACCGTGCGCGTACCGACACGGTGTGGGTATTCCATACCGTACACTATACCGTATGGATCTACGGTATCAGCCGCTGACAAGGAAAGCGACGGGTCTGTACCGAGTAAACGAGAGGGGAATACGGCAACCTTTTATGATTCGAAGCATGGAACCTGCCTACAGGCGGTAGAGCGCGGCCCATTGGCGATGGAACTCCAGGATTACGATTCCGCCGTCAGCCAACGAAGAAAGACGGGCAAGATTTGCAACATAAAGTAGGGCACAGCAAACACAAGTTCGCTGCGATCGCAAGACGCGAGCGATTGGAAGGGCCGGCCTTGTGTGTCGAAGGCACGGAGGAGATCAATCGATACCTAGACAAGCAACAGGAGCCGCCGGCCGAAAAACAAACGTTACGGAAGTGCGTGGACAGCAATTTTCTCGTGTGATTCAGGCGAAACGGAGTCAGTGTCCCGCAAGGCGACAATGAAGAACAGCAGGTGCTCTTTGTATTGATTCTCCCTCGCTCACTCCCCTCTCCCCCCCCACCCGCCCCCTTCCTTCGGACCGGCAGGTGCAAACTCTAGACATCAACGGAAAGAGAGTGCGGTGTCAGATCTGGGACACGGCGGGGCAGGAGAGGTTTCATGTCATCACGAGGACGTACTATCGCGGGGCTCACGGGATCGCTCTCGCCTACGACGTCACCGATGATGACAGCTTCAAGAACGTCAACTACTGGTGGGTTGTTTTGCTGTAGGGGTTGATATGAAATGAGGGCGCCTTCCAGTTTCTTGCTACTACGTCGGGTGTTTAGCTGACGCGAGGAGTTGATGTGAAATGAAGGGCGTCGTCTAGGTTGTTCCATGGGTGGGTTGGGTTTGGTTGGGCTGTTATGGCGGCAGTGCCGCATGTATCTGGTCTGCTATGTCTAATCCGGGCACCGACCGTAGAGAGGCCCAACCGCTGGTTTGGTTTGTTTTCGTTGTGCTGGTACCGGCCGTAAAGATGCAACCGCTGGGTTTGCTGCCCTTGTGCTTTGTGTTGTTTGGTCCACTCCTGTAGCTGTGTGGCGTGCGACGTACATGGGGTTGAATGCGTAGCCCCTGGCAACGCATGCGAAAGACTGCAACAGCTTATGCCAACGGTAGGCAGGCGTTTTTACATATTCGTCTATTCGAAATATCAATTGTCAATGGGGGGTGTGCTGTAGGAAACTCAACATTCTGTCTGTAATGCTCGAAGGCTATCGTGAACTCGTTGCTCAAAGTTTCGAATTTAGTCGTACGAGCTATATACACTCTTAACGATAGCGCCGACAAAGTTTGGTCCAGTTTTGTCTCGAGTGACGTGCGGACTTGCTTCTGCCAGACAACAGCCTTCTCGACTCTGGGTGAAACCCACCATGCGGCGTGTCCCTTTTTTTTTGTCGCTCTTTTTTCTGGCCGGATGGTATTGGAGCAGAGGTCGAAAGCTCCTGAACGATTGATTACCAGACGCAACAGGTGTTGGACCAATGGACGGATGGATGCACTACAGTAAACCCACATACGGACTCACAATGCCTAACGTTAGAGGTTGGGACCGCGGGGGGGGGTGTGGGCACGCGGAAGTGAAGACCAGGTGGAGAGAACCGTATTCTATGTGCCCCGGGTACGTAGTTTACCACAATACGACACGGATAACATCAGCCTCTCGCGTTTCATTTTCTGGTTCCGTTTTTTTTTTTTTGTGTGTACAGGATGGCGAATATCCAGACGCATGCGGAGCCCGGGCATCGTATGCAGAAGATGATCCTGGGGAACAAGGTGGACATCGAGGACCGAGCGGTGAGGTTTATTTTTTTTTTTTGTTGTGATGCATTCGGAAGAACACAAGTAAAGTCAGGTTTGTTTGCGATATGGCCCAACAAGGAAAGAAGTCAACACGATAGCGAGAACAACAGTATCAACAACAACAGTCAACAGCATCAGCAAATGCAGTGCGACAAGCCCCATGCAGCAGTTTTCCCCGCTTCTCCCGTCCCCTCTTACGGGACCCCCTTCCTGCGGGACTCCCTCCGTCTCACTTCCGGGACTCGCGGTGCTGGCCATACGGTCGGATAAACCTGTTTCGCGACTGCTGCCACCGTTGGGATGGTGGATTGTCGTGTTACAGGATTGGGGCAGGAGACCCGAGGGATCGAACCAGCCGCCATGGTTTCACCGAGTTTACCGCCGGCTGTACTCATCTCTCAGCCGACCAGTCTTGCGTCCAACTTGGGGGGACGGATTTGCAATCAATGTACTCCGCTCAAAGTCAATCGGCTCTTGTTTTCGGAGTTTTTCGATTGGATGAACGCTTTTTGTTGGTGTGTTTAGGACCCACCCATTACCATGATTTTGCCCCCCCCACCGTCGCCCCCCCCGGTGTTTGCCATCGGGGTTGGGTTTTCGTCGCTTGGCAA